GCATTTGCAGTTCATGGACCCCTGAACTTGGGCATAGTCCACCATCTTCATCTCAACTGTCTTTTATCAAAATACACTGTCAAAGCAGCAATTAATTTTCTATCAAAACAAAGACCTCTCAACTTAGTTATATGTCTAGCTAAATCTTAGCTACTCTAGAAAATCTAGAATCAATTCTAATGTGACACATCCTGAATCAAATTTATCCTCCCCACTAATTAGTTTCCTTTCCATCTTTCATATTTGTTAACGTCACCCCCATAAGCAGGCATGCTAAAAACATTAGTCCTTTGTCTTCTTTTTGCCACAAGTATTTAGAGGGGTTAATTTCCTTCTGGGGATGATTTTAATGACCTCTCACAAGTTTCAATATGCAGTATTTTTATTATCATACATTTCTAAATATTTTTAGTTGCCATTATAATTTATTTTTAAATTTATTGTTTAATAAAGTTATTGCCTAATAACTTTATTGCATAAATAAATATATTTATTGTCTAAATTTCCAAACTTACGGACATTTTTGATGTACTTGATTTTAAACTTTCTGTATCATGATCATGCAACAAAATCTGAATGATAACAACTTTTGAAATTTGTTGAGACTTGCTTTATGCCCATGATATTTGTTTTATTTTCTAATGAGAGGAATGTGTTCTCCATTTATATGTTTGAAAGTTCCATATAAACCTAAATGTGTTGTCCAGATAATCTATACTTTCAGTAATTATTTGTTTTCTTGGCATGTTTGTTGAAATCTCCTTAATTTATGATAGTGAGTTTGTCCAATTTTCCCTCTACTTCTGTTAATTTTGCCTTATATATTTTGTGGCTGTGTTGTTAGCTGAATGTAAATTTAGAATATTTATATCTTCTTTCTGAATTGCATCTCTAGTCATGTAGTGTTCTGATTTCTCCTTTGTTTCTTTTATTTTGTATTAGTAAAGCTATGTCAGTTTCAAAAACAATTAACATTTTCATGGTATATTTATTTCTGTTCAAGTCTCCCTGTCCTTATTTTTTTTGTGTATCTTTTTTAAACAGCATATAACAGAATTAAAATCCAACCACATCTTTCCTTTTTTAGTTGACAAGTTCAGACCGTTTATATTTATTATAATTATTGACTTAATTCTTCCATCTTAAATGTGCTTCCTATTTGTCATTTTTCTCTGTGCTTTTTTTTCTGTTCTTGCTTTCTCAATTGAGTTCTTATTTGCCAAGCTGTTTTTCTTAATCAGTTTTTATTCTCTACCAGTTCAAAAGTTCTGTTCTCTATTTCCTTGTTTTTGGATTTTTTGGAAGTATAGGTGATACACAATATTATATTTTCAAGTATACAAGGGTAATTCGACAGTTATACGCATTATTAAATCCTCACTCCAAGTAGTGTAGTTACTGTCAACATAGAAGGATGTTACTGAACTATTGACCATGTTTTCTATGCTGTACTATCATCCCCATGACTAATTTATATTATTATTGAGATTTTTATCCCCTTCACCTATTTTACCTGCCCACCCCAAACCCTCCCCAATGGTAACCACCAGTTACTATTTCTGTCATTTAGAAATTACCCAATAAATTTTACATACATATTTAATAAGTTTACAAAGTATAGATTCAATATATATATATCTCACTTTTTACCACACATATTAGCAATTAACCATCTAAACTTACTACTCATATTTCACTTTTTAATTTTCCTGCTGTTTTTTCTCCTCCTCTTTTTTCTTACTCTTTGATTCTTCTTCTTTGTCCTCCATTCATTTCTTGAGATTTCACTTTCTTGATTACCAAACAACTTAAAAAATCACATTTATCATCATTTACTCAGGTTCTATTTGTAATGAAGCAATAGAACCTGGAAAGAAATCAGTCACATAGTGGATATTTTCTGTCACTGATTTGAGAGTAGACACCAAGAGTAGAACTTCTGAATCATTTTCAGAATAAAGAAATTATGACAGTTTTCTTCCATGGTGATTATACCACTTTTCTAAAAAAACATATGAAAGGGTTCATTTTCTTTAAAACTTGAGGACACTATACATTTCAATTTCGGTTAAGCTTTAATGAGACAAAACAGTGCATCATTTCCTTGAACCCGAGCATCTGTTCACATGTTGACTGAATATTAGGTATTACCCTTCCATGCATTGCTAGTTTATGTCCTTTGCTTATTGTATGACAGTGGTATACCCAAGTCCAAGTTAAGCTGGGCAACAGCTTTAAGAGGTGGGAAATTCCTTGGAAAGGTGGGGGTTCAAGCTTCAGAAGGAATGTTGGATGTTGGAGTAGGTAATTTTTAATGTCGCTGTTAACTTGAAAAGAGTCCATGATCAATGGTAGACTGAAACAACTGGAACCCTAGAGCAGAAGAAAATCTGGTGTGAGATGTATTTGTGTGCATCCTACCTAATCAGAGTATATGAGTCTTTTCTCAGTTCTGTTTTGTGCAACAGCTGGTCCTAAAGATGGAAGAGGCATGGAAAGGTATTGCCAGAGCAGGCTCAGTGATTAACGAGCTCCACTGATATGATGAGGAAAACAGGGTGGAGCTTTGACTAGTAGTAGGGCTGGGAGAAGTGGGATTTAGGGAGGACAGGGACTGGGAAATTGGGCTGTTGGTTTTGGCATTCACCTCACTCCATGGCTGCATTATCCTAGCCCAAGCCCAAGAAGGAGGGAAGGGTGACCTGCCTAAGGATAGTGGAGTAAAGCAACTAGCTTTGATTTGTCATCCAGCCTCATCTGATGATTGTTAGGGACTTGGGTATAGGAGAAAAGCTTAAACACAAAGATACTCCAAACTATGTGTCAAGGATGAGATTGATGGACAATATACAGACAGATATTTAGGGACTTGCCTGGAGTCTTCATTCTACTAAAGGCTAAAGAAAACTCTTACCAGAGTTAAAACAGCGTGTATTTAGGTAGAAGATAACATTGTATGTATGTGTTAGTATTAATAATTTAAATGGTGCTTAGCTAGAGGTGAGAACTCATCAGAGAGATTCAGGATTTTAACAGGGTCCATAGCCTTATTAAAGTTTTTTCCCTGAATAAAGGGAGTGGAGGCTGGGTAGGTGGAGGGAGGAGATAATTTGGGTATGTGGACTACTCCGGCGTGATGGATTTTCTAATGGAAAGACAGGAAGATAGAAGTAAGAAGGGAGAGAACTAGAAAGACCCTGAGCCTCTGACATGAAATTCGGAGGAGGGCAAAAGAGGGAGCAGCGGCCGAAGCAAGGGTGCAGGGCCCGGCGGGCCCGCTGGGTCTGAGGGCTGGGAAGGTGGGCGAGGTGAGGGCGGAGCCTCGGGAGCGCAGCCACCCACCCCCTTTGCCCCCTCACTCTGCTCCTAGAAAAGGAACACTTGCGGCCGCGGGGCTGACTCGGGAGCCCTCCGAGGCAGCAGCAGACCCCGCAGCGCCGCCCTCCGCGAGCCCGAGCCTCCCAGCCCGGAGCGCAGCGCGGCGCGGCCGAGGGAGTTCGCAGGGCGCGCTCGGGCGCCTGGTGAGCGCTCTCGGCGGGTTACCGCGCCCGGATCCCACCTGTCGTCTGCCTCCGGCGGCGGGTTCGGCTGGGCAGGGGGTGGGAGCCGGAGGCTCCGGGAGCGTCCCGAGCCCGTGCTGAGACCTTTTGTCCCCGTGCAGGAGCCCCCCGCGTTCCCTGAGCGAGCGCAGCGCACCGAGGATACCGCGCCGGGACGCGCTCCTTGGCCGAGGCCGAGAGGTACTTTATTCCCGCTCGGGCTCCCTCTTCGGCGGCCGGGAGATCCGACCTGGGAGGAGGGCACTGGTTCGGGAGCGTAACCAGAAATTCTTGGGGAAGAAGATTTTCCCGACCTATCCTGTCCCTGCCTTTTAGAACTTGTACCATAAATTAGCCACTGTCAGTTCAATTTAGGTAATCTACACAATTTTCGACGATGTGAAAGGACCTGAATAACCTAAGTTTAAATTTGTTTTTCTCTTTATCCTAACTTTTTTTGGGGGAGGTGGCCGACGCTGGTATATGGGAAAGGAGGTGGTGAGTCCTGTCTTTTGGATCTGCCCTTCTCACTCCATTTCTGGATGTCAACGTTGTGCTGGGGACATTGCCACTGCCAGCATGTTACAGCAATTCGTGGCAATTCAAAGGCACTTTCGTCCTTGACTTGCACCTTTATGCACTGGCAATTTACTCAGCGATCAATTTGGCAGGGAACCTTGTGCAAAAAACCATAAAAAAAATAACATTTTGCTGAATGCCATTGGCCTTGCACCATGTCTTATTAGCTTGTAACACCATTTGTGTCTTCATGCTCTTTCATATTAATTTTCTCCTACCAGCTCCTGAACAACCTGAGAGAAGCCAGGAATCCACCAGACAACAGTACCTAACAAATATTTTTCAATGAATTAAAATGGAAGCATTAGTAACTTTGAAACTTAGAACAGTGCTTGAGCACACCATTTGGGTTAATAGATCGGTAACATCGTAATCAAAAAACAAAACCAACCTTTTTCTTCACAGTTACACATAGAATGGGCTGCATTTTGATCCACTTAGTTGCAATGTGTTGTGGTAGCAGTGTTGGGTAGGTAGGCCACAGAGACTGAGAACTTGCTGAGCCATATCACTGAGAAATTTTTTCTAATCTGTAAAGGGAAAAGGTTGGAGTACATGCTTTTAAAGGTTTCTTCCAGCTGTGAAGTCTGTGATGAAATGAATCTATCACATCTTCATAAACATGTGTTTATTGGATTTCTGTGGCTGGAAGAGTGTTTATCAGAATGCTGGTAAATAAGTTGTAATTGTAATATCCTTTCAAAGGAAAGTCTGAGAATAGGCAACAGAGGAAAACCAACAAATGCATAATGGGCAAATTTGCCTTGATAAAAAAAATGCATGTATGTTTAATTTTTTAGGTTAAACAGATCATTGAATAATTGCATAATTTTCTTTTGAAATTAAAAATATACCCCCCTCGTTTTTTTCCCCACATAGAATATGGGTTTTGCCACAAGAAGATGGTTCTATCTACCATTGGGCTGCATGATGCTGATCAATCTGATTAATGCTGACTTTGAGTTTCAAAAGGGGGTGCTTGCCAGTGTCAGCCCAGGGATCATGGAAGACATTGATCTCCAGTGCTGGAACACTTGTTCTTTAACACTGATAGACCTCAAGGAGCTCAAGATAGAGCGCAGTGTGGATGCTTTCTGGAATTTCATGTTGTTCTTACAAAAATCCCAGTGGCCTAGACATTATAATGTTTTCTTAAGCATAGCTCAGGATTTCTGGGACATGTATGTAGACTGCTTGCTTTCAAGATCTCATGGAATGGGCAGAAGACAGGTGATGCCTACCAAGTATAATTCTCCACAGAAGATAACAGGAGGTAATTTAAATGTGTACTTAAGAGAATAGTTTAATTTTGTTAAAAATTCAATGTTTAATTCTTCTAATTTTTCAAGTGTATTCAACAAGCTAGCAAATTTGCTATATGTTTTCCTAATATGATCAGCTTTGATTTTCATTTTTACTGATTTTATAGTATTTGACAACCATTGGAGCTTTGATGTACAAACACTTGATTCTAAATGATCTTGGGATATAATACATTTTAGCAGATTGCTAAAATTATCTTATTTTTTCCCCATGAATAGTTCATAAGAAAACCATTTTGCACTATAATTTAATAAATTTCTTTAAATTTTTTTTTAAACATTGGAGATGTATTTAGGTTTTTGAAATTAAGTTTTTCAATAGGGCTGTTTAAAAGGAGGGAATCTTAATAGTCATTTAAGAATAAATATTAAATTTCTCTTGTCTAACCTTACAGGACTGGATTTTATAAAATGTGAGTTTTACATTTAAGAGAGAGATCATAGAAAATACCTCAAGCAAGATGAACCCAACCTGAAAGTTTAACTCTGTCAATATTTATAAGGTCAAATATCCCCTGTAATGTTTATCAAAATTGTTATTTCTAAGTACTCAATATTGATGAAAGTTGTATTTTTGTTGATGTGTAATGGCATTATGGCTCCTGAATTACCATTTCCATCGTTTTAGGTAGTTTGTCAATAATTTTTTATTTAGAAGGCATCTGTGCAAATATCTTTATTTTAAGGAAAATGCCACTTAAAATGCAAATGCAACATATTTTTAATACAACAATCAATGGAGTAAAATTGAAACCAATTTTATAAGGTATCTATAAATAATACTGACTTTAAAATTGTGCCAAAACTAATGCCAGTATTGTCCTAAAAAGTAATATTTAATTTTGTTGTAGTATACTGTGTGGCTTCTGAAATGTGTATTTCATCATCAAGCTATCTTACGTATTAAAATGTTTTATTTTTCTATGCTTTAAGTACTTCTTTTTACTAGGCTTCATTTTTAAAATGAAGGTTTTTATTGTCTTCATTTTTAAAAAGGAATAATGAACAGAAAGGCAGTAGGAAACTTCATTATGTAAAGTGCAGTTTGACAGAATTTTTGTCGGTCAGTATTAGCTCAGTTTTTTAATATTTCCATTTGTCTCACATGTTATCCCATAAAGGATATGAAGCATTAAATAAATATACCAAACAACAGGATAACATGACGTAAATGAGGAAATTGGGATGCTGGGAAGTGAAGAGAGGAAACTAATCATATGCAGTTATAGTTTAGATTAATACTTTTAAATGCATGTCATAAAAGCCTATACATTTGATAAAGAGTAACTGTAAATTTGGTCTGAGTTTCCTGTTTCTCAAGGTCAAGAGGGACTCATGAGCAGTTTCAAGATTCACAATGCTAATAAGGAAAACTGAACTTTTTTGAAGAAGCTAAGCCTTTCCTAGGACTAAAATCCAATAGAAATCTGTCCCATTGGTTTTTATAATGGCTTCCATGGTGTACATCATTGAGTTTTCAAGTATTCCCAGATGACAGATTCCCTTCAAGGCAAGCAGTTGCCAGCACACCCAAACTCAGTTAAATATAAACAATTTTAAGAGCAGCAAAATAATACTAAACAAGTGTGCACTGTCTGATGGTTTGACTTGATCCATGAATAAACTTTGAACTGAAGGAGGGGTCTGACATACTTTGAGTTATAGATCACTTTGAGATTCTGATGAAGCTCTAGACCTTTTACTAGTGGCTTTATAAACACACATTCAGCACTTTATGTATAATTTCAAAAGGGTCCGTGATGTCCAGGTTAAGAATCTCCAATACTAAAGAATGAATGGACTGCATAGCCTTCAGGTATTCTTTTATAAATATTATTTCACATAACCAAGTTTTATATAATAATCAGTTGCAGCTAATATGAGGTTACAAGTCCAATAAATCCCTAGATTGAAAATATTTCATCTTGCTGATTAAAGATGGATCCCTAACCCTAGAAAATCAACTGGTTGGAGGGTAAAGCGTAAGTTCTCCTATAAGTGATCAGATATCCAAACATATGTCTAATTTAGTCCCTGTAGGTAGAGGCATAGGGTCAACGTTTTCCTTAAAAAACAGCTCTTCTTTATACAATCTGTGGGCAAGTGATTGAAGCTCAAAAGTTCAGTAAAGCAAGACCATGTAATTTTATCCTAAAAATTTTTTCAACCAGTTGTCATTAAGCATAGTTGTCATAAAAATTTTATTGCAGCAACGATGAACTTATTAGGGCTAATCAATAAAATTGTTAGCCTTCCAAAATAGGTTATTCACAAATATTCTACTAATTGGATTTAAATGCTTGTTGAATTATTAAAAATAAGGACATTTGCCAGATGGGCATTCTGGTTTTTGAACAGTTCATCTTAAGCATGTTTGATGGTACTTAGATGTCATGTTCTGTTAAAATACCCCCAGTTTTGGACATAAATCATGTCATTTGTATATTGAAAAATTTACCCTCTTTTTATCATTTACTCAATAAAAATTCATTGAGCTTGGAGATACACTGCTGAACAATCCAGACATAGTCCTTCACTCCTAGAGCTGTTATTTCAGTGGGACAAAGGTGTAGTAGGAACATCTGTAACTAATTTAAAAGCAGTTTATGATATTACCATTGTGGGGAGTGGGCTGATGACCCTTCCCCCACTTGCTGATGTGGCAGGAATGGAGAACAAAG